ATATATAAATGGCACTTACTACTTTCAGAAAAACACATATGTTGAATTTCTTGTAAAGAATTCTTCCCTTTCCATTCATTAAGCCATTCTGCCTGGATATATATATCTGTGTGAGTTTCTTGCAAGAATATCACACTAGCCTTTTTAAAAGCTAAAAATTTGATGAGAGCACTTCTCTTTTCTTTATTACGACATCCATTTAAATTTAATGATCCAATTTTGTAAGGATGTCATAAAATATTACTGTAATACAGCGATCAAAACAAAAACTGTTCCTCTACCGAATCAATTAAATTTTACTCTTTTCCTGTTGGATCATCTTCTTTACTTTAGTGATTATTTTTTTGAGACGGTATCGTTTTTGTCTGCTAAACTCCTCAACTGTGGCATTTATCATAACATCCCTCCCTACAGGAAGCCAAAAATTTCCTCAAATCTGGAAAAAAACAAATCAATTTGTGGATTCCGCACCCCTTTAGTTTCATCAAGAAAGGTGCTAATCTGTATCGCCGAGTAGGATTTCGCTTCACATCCACTCAATTCTGATGTCCCTATTAGAGAATCATTGTCTCCAACTTCAAAGAAACTCTCTATACTTTCACATTCATTGTCTGACTCACTGTCAGATCTCGCGACACCAGAGCTAACTGTGAACTGACTACAACTTTCATTTACTTCGTCATCTGATTTGTTCTCACTTTTATCATTTGTCTCTACACACTCCATCAAAGTAAATTCATCCTCTCTACTTTTAGATTGGAAATGTGTTTCTTGTACTTCTGTTCTTTCATTTTGCGTTTCTACAGCACTGGCACTCTGACCTTTAACGCCATCTGCTGGCTGATCAATGTCAACGTTTGAGTTGTTTGTTTCACTACTACGCTTATTTTCTTCTCCTATATTATTTTCAGTCTCTTCAGCAATTACTTCACGAACGACCGTATTGTTTTCTTGAACAGTGTTTTCCTGAATAGTTTGCGAGCCTGTTAAATCAGCAATATCATTTTGTTTTGGACATGTCTGTCTGACATGTCCAAACCAAGCACTCTCACTGCGACTACCCACAATCCTCAGAGAGCGAGCGAGAGAGAGAGAGAGCGCGCGCGAGAGAGAGCGCGAGAGAGAGAGAGAGAGAGAGAGAGAGAGAGAGAGCGAGAGAGAGAGAGAGAGAGAGAGAGAGCGAGACAGAGCGCGCGCGCGCGAGAGAGAGAGAGAGAGAGAGAGGATTAAAACACTTATTTTATCACAAATTACCTTATACAAATTCACAATAATAGTAATTCTCATAAAATGAAAAATTAAACATTCAAGAACAACTGGCCCTCAAAAACCACACATAAGATGTCTTTAAAGCATTATCATCAAAAGCATTATCATATGATGCTTTTTTAAAGATCATTATTTGGTGTATTTGGTGTAACAGAATATGTTGACATGCTTTAATGTTCAAAAAACATATTATTTTTCAAATACTGTACATTATTGTAGGTCCTCTATGCCCCGCCTCTCTCAAACGCTTCGTTTTCTACAAAGTCC